AGCATTTCGTCGCATTTTCACTGGAAGAAGTTGGTGTTTGAAGGAGCACGCATCACTACAGCAAGGTTCCACGAAGCTGAGACTCGAGGGCTGAAGTGCATGCTTTTGAAAGTTAACCAAAAACTCCCTTGCACGGACACACAGGTACACGTTCACTGCCAACTCACCCTTTATGTAGACATTGAGAGGTGTTGTAGTGCCCACTGCAAACACAGCAACTATGACCTGTGTGGTAGCAAGGTCTGCTGGAATAGCGCTAGGATGATAAGTGGATGACAGCATCTGGTTGTACAGAGTGACAACTTCAGGAGTGTTGTTGCCAGCGATAGTTGTAATCACCAGGTCGTACGAGTTTCCGTCAATGACATTGGTTTGATTGAGCAGCAAACTACCTAGGGCAATGCCTGTTAAAACACAAGAACACACATGTTGACACTGGGGAACTGAAACAATTGGATCTATATGCAGAATGTCAAGTTCAGCGGAGAAGTGCCTTGGCATTATACATCTTTCTAGTACTCGGTAGCTCTACAGGTGTTACATGTGAATGGATTTGGGTATGTTGCTTCGAAAAGCTTGTGTGTGTGTGTGTGTGCGTGTGTGTGTGTGAGAGTGCGTGTGTGTATGTGTATGTCTGTGCAAATGTGCGTGAGTGGATGTGTGTGAGCTAATGTGCGTGTGTGTGTGTGTGCAAATGTGCGTGTGTGTGTGCAAATGTGCATGTGTGTTTGTGCGAATGTGCGAGTGTGTGTGCAAATGTGCGAATGTGTGTGTGTGCAAGTGTGCAAGTGCGTGTGTGCAAATGTGCATGTGTGTGTGTGTGCAAATGTGCGAGTGTATGTGTGCAAATGTGCGAGTGTGTGTGTGCAAATGTGTGAGTGTGTGTGTGTGTGTGTGTGTGTGTGTGTGTGTGTGGGTGTGTGTGTGTGTGTGTGCATGTGCAAAGGTGCATGTGCATATGTGCGTGTGCAAATGTGCGTGTGCAAATGTGCGTGTGCAAATGTGCGTGTGCAAATGTGCGTGTGCAAATGTGCGTGTGCAAATGTGCGTGTGCAAATGTGCGTGTGCAAATGTGCTTGTATAAATGTGAGTGTGAAAATGTACGTGTGCAAATGTACGTGTACGTTTGTGAATGTGTGTACGTTTGTGAGTTTTCCGACAACATCTCTGTGACGAATGGGCTGCGTCAAGGATGTACCCTAGCACCAACCCTCTTCAGCCTGTATTTCAGTGTGGTGGTTGCGCACTGGCGTGCACGTTGTCCAGACGCTGGAGTTGACCTGCTGTTCAGAAACGGTCGCAAGCTGGTTGGGGACCGCACGGCCAAGTCCCGGTTATCCGCGACGAGGGTGACTGAGTCCCAGTTCGCCGATGATGCAGCATTGTATGCAACCACCAGAGAGATTTGAGTGCATGACGTCCGAATTCATCTTAATTATTGTGTGCACAGCGATGGGGACTGACCGTCAGCATTAGAAAGAAGAAGGGCATGGCGGTGGCTCAACCTACATCAGTTGATCCGTTTAACTTGGTGGTGACAGCAGAATTGACATGGTGGACGGGTTCCGGTACTTTGGCAGCGTGCTCTCTGCTGACGGAACGAGGACGTCGCTGCTCGTTTGGCGCAGGCGTCCCGGCTGTTCGGCGTGCTCAGGTCTCCGATATTTCAGTGTGTACATCTCTCGGTTCACACCAAGCGGCTGGTGTATAGTGCTATTGTCAGTTCTGCTCTTCTCTACGGTGCGGAGACATGGCCCATCAAAGCGGGTCATATTCGCCGACTCAACACCTTTAACCATCAGTGTATTCGCACAATTCTCGGTATCTCTCGTCGTGAGCTATGGGAGGAGAGATTGTCGTCGGCATCGCTGAGTGAGCTGGCAGGGGTGGACGTCGATATGGCCGATGTGATCAGGCAGCACCGCTTGTGGTGGCTTGGTCATGTTGCACGGATGAAGGAGACCCGGCTGCCCAAGCAGATGCTGTTCGGCAAACTGCCCTTCAAACCCCCGCAACATGGTCCCAAGAAGCGCTGGCGGAATGTTGTGTCCTCATACTTCACTGTCATCGGTTTGTCTGAAGCGGACTGGTATGACACAGCGCAGGAGAGATGTACCTGGTTTCAGTGTTATCGACAGAGGGTCGAGAAGGAAGCCCCAGACATCCCGTGCCCCAACTACCTCTGTGGCAGAGTGTTCCGTCGTCCTGGTGACCTCAAGCGGCATGCGCCATACTGCAGATTTCGGGTTTAGAGCCTCAGTGTGAGGAAACCATCGCTATCATTTCTACGGCAATGAGCGTTCAAGGTTGAAGGTTTGTGAATGTATGTATGATTGTGAATGTGTGTACGTTTGCGTCAATAATCAATGGCTGCCCTTCGATCATGTTAGCAGTGACTAGGCATGGGCAGGTAATGCTAGCATTATGGCTGGCATTATACTTTATAGTCCCTTTTTCCAGGTGGCATAATGCTGGCATTATAACACCATTTTGCATGCAAAATTGGCATTACAAGCATAATTGCCAGTCGACAACGGTGTCATGCGTGAAGCTGGCTAGGTCCAGTTCTGAAAATCGTGCATCTGAACCCGTCCGGCTTCGTCCGGAGACTTGACGGTGCAAATCAACCTTCTCAGCGGATTGTTTCAGACAACTTGCTCACTGCTGTTTAATTTGTTTCTTGTACGCTTTGGCCTTGATCCAAAACGACCTTCTTAAACCGACTTTTCCAACTTTCAAACTGACATTATGGAGTAGTGTGAGCATTATATGTGGCATAATATAATCATAGTATGAGCATTGCCTTTAGCATTACCCCAGCAAATAACTAGCATTACCTGCCCATGCCTTGCAGTGGCAGAATGCAGCATGTAATGGTCAGTTCTAGACTTAGTTAGGTAACTATATACTTCTTATTATGTACAGCCCTTGTTCCTATTAACATCAATTTTATCAGTTCTAAGACGCGTTCAATGCAATCTATCCGTCTCTGATGGCCAGAAACATGGACGCCCTCACTCGAATGACGAAAGCTGCAATCCATGCCTTCTTTGGCTTTCCGCCGTGGACTTCCACTGCAGGACTCTTCGAGAGACTCTGTCTTCCTACCCTCGAGGATGCCCTGGCAGTGAAAATCCTAATATTCGTTCGCCGCTGCATTCATGACCGTTCAAGTGTCCTGTTTAGGAATTACTACGCCAGAACACCGAGTGATCGCACCTGTGGAGCTGACCAAAACCTATTGCAGGCACCCTTCTGGCCCGGTCCTTCTCGTCGAGGTACGATCCAGTTCATTGGTGCCATTCTCTGGAACAAGACACCGCCCAAGATGCGCTGAGAACCTTGTCACGCCCATTTCCGTGCTCTCTCGAAAGCGTACAAGTATTCAAAATAGGTGACTTTTATCTGGTCACCAATGGTCAATCCTTCGGTCAGTTACGTTTTCGGTTTTCAACATAGTTCTTTTCCCCGCAGATCTATCTGTAACATATCCAGTTACCTTCCGTGACTCCTTTCACTTGTGATGTTTTTCTCCTCCCCTCCCCATTACTATTATTATTATTGTAGAAGAGAAAAGGACATATGGATATGAGTTAAGAGTAACTCTCCATCACTGTAACATGATACTATATACAGTCAGAAAGTGCAATAACTAGGCACAAAACTGACAGAGTACTGAGACATTCGACATCCTGACACCTAGCTTCAACACATCTCCGTAGCGCTAACCGACAGCCTTCCAACTTGGAAGGTTCAAGGTTATGGAAAGACCAAAGAGGGGAAGGCAAGTCGTGTGAAACAACTTGTTTTGTAGTCAACTAGTCCATCAAAATGTCATGCATGAGGAGTATTGTAGGAGTTTGACTTTCAGCTTGTACAATTCGTTTTCGCAAAGCTTCCCTTTCTTTACTTATCTTTGATATTTATGACCCACCCAAGTTGGGTGGTGTGCTGCTTTGTTGCTTCGAATTGTAGTTAGAGCGCTGTGTCAAATATCGTACTGGTCTCGTCATCGTCCAGTAACAATCGACATTCTTTGTTCCGTTGGGACTGTAGCTTTTGCTCGTTTTCATTGCGCTTGCCTTGCCCTCTTTGGTCTTTCCATAACCTTGAACCTTCCAAGTTGGAAGGCTGTCGGTTAGCGCTACGAAGATGTGTTGAAGCTAGGTGTCAGGATGTCGAATGTCTCAGTACTCTGTCAGTTTTGTGCCTAGTTATCGCACTTTCTGACTGTATAAAGTATCATGTTACAGTGATGGAGAGTTACTCTTAACTCGTATCCATATATCCTTTTCTCTTCTACATTTATTTATGGCTCAACATCCGAGTTTCAAATTATTATTATTATTATTTGAAACTCGGATGTTGAGCCATAAATAAATGTAGAAAAGAAAAGGACATATGGATACAAGTTAAGAGTAAGTCTCCATCACTGTAACTGGATACTATATACAGTCAGAAAGTGCAATAACTAAGCACAAAACTGACAAGAGTACTGAGACATTCGACGTCCTGACACCTAGCTTCAACACATCTCCGTAGAATTGTAGTTAGACCCCTTTGTCAAATATCGTACTGGTCTCGTCATCGTCCAGTAACAATCGACATTCTTTGTTCCGTTGGGACTGTAGCTTTTGCTCGTTTTCGTTGCGCTTGCCTTCCCCTCTTTGGTCTTTTCATAACCTTGAACCTTCCAAGTTGGAAGGCTGTCGGTTAGCACTACGGAGATGTGTTGAAGCTAGGTGTCAGGACGTCGAATGTCTCAGTACTCTTGTCAGTTTTGTGCCTAGTTATTGCACTTTCTGACTGTATAATTTATTATAGTATCCAGTTACAGTGATGGAGAGTTACTCTTAACTTGTATCCATATGTCCTTTTCTTTTCTACATTATTATTAAGTAGTGGTTGCGACTTCGTCGATGATTCGTAAGAAAGAACGTCTGTCTCACCGTCCAGGAGCGACACTGACTCACGCTGCTATCTGGTGTTCACGAGGTGTTTATCGCGCTGGAAGCGGAGCGTCTCTGTAAGTTTGTATCCCTGGTGATGTTTGTGCCTGGAGAGCACTATATAAGTGGTGCTCTTCAGGCACAATCTTCCTCAGCCTACTCAAGCTCAACTGATGAGGGGTGAATTCCCCGAAACACTGTGTATTGAGCAGGGAGTGGTGCTTTCTTGCAGGTTTGCCGAGTCGAAGGTTCGATGGACTTCTGGTGTGCTCTGGATGGCAGTCGTGAGTCAGTCAAGTGTCAAGTAAAGTCGGCGGAATAGCGTGAGCTCCGGTGTGGGGAGCAAACCTTTCTTACATTATTATTTCTCCTTTATTCACTTCTTTCGAAGGCGATAAGCCAGACCCACCGGGAATGGGTGGGACAGCAAAAAAGAAAGTGAAAAAACAAAAACAAAAATAAATAAATAAATAAAACCTAAAAACCAAAGGGACAAGAACTAGTTGAAGGAAGAGGAAGAAAGGAAAGAAACTCAATCCGAACTCCAACATCAAAACAATAATAAAGAATTTGCAGCGACAGGCAAAATACATCAACCAATGAAGGGAGTAGTAACAAAGGAAATATCAGTCTTTATCAGTCGTTATTCAAGTCTCTTAGCTATTGAACATGCAAACGCAGCAGAGGTGCATCTACATGTTAAGGATAGTTCTCAGTATTTTAATCGAACCTTGTATAGCCTCCTGTTGCACAATAGCCAGGTCTCCTCCCTGCACAGTCCGAACGCATTGAGGAGTCTCCCCCACCAAGCCTCCCAGGGTACCGACAACCACAGGGACCACGTCAACCTGGTTGAGGGACCAAATCCTCGAAATCTCCCGCTTCAAATCATAATATTTCGAGCGCTTTTCAGCCATTTTCTTATTGATGTTGTTCTCACCAGGAACGCTGATGTCTATAATGTAGGCGATGCGCTCCTTGTCATCAACAAGGAGCAGATCGGGCCTGTTTGCTGATAGTTTCAGGTCAGTTGGGACCGAATACTCCCAATAGAAGCGATACTGATCACTCTTGACCAATGCCTTGAGCTGGTGGTCGAATCGTGAAGCACCAGTAGGTAGATCTCGTGCTTTACACATTTCGAAGTGCACATACTTTACTATCCGGTTATGTCGTTCAATGTAACTGGTCCGAGCAAGAACTGGGCAGGCACTGACAATGTGGTCAATTGTTTCTAAGCTGCCCTTGCAAAGCCTGCAATTGGCATCAGTTCGAGCAATTGACTTCATTATGGCGTATTGGTAATTTTCGTTTTGAGGGATTGGTCTTGTGCTGCCATAATCATGCCTTCAGTTGAAGGTTTCAGTGTCCTTGATTTCAACCACATGAAGGTAAGCTCCTTATCTAGGCGATTCTCCTCCAATCGGCTCCAATATCTCCCATGCAGCGGCATAGTGGAAAGTGTTTTGGATTTTCGCTCAGCGCACGCTTGTTTAATGGTATGCTTATTGGGTAAAGCTGGTCCAGCTGCTGGCAGATCCAAACTCGACAGGAACTTAGCGGCCTTTGCAGTTATTGAATGGCTTTTTGTTGTAGGTTTTTGTTGATGATACTGATAAAGCAGGCTTATTCTGTCTATTGGGCTGGTACTCATGTAGCGGGCCAGGCCACACATGCTCCGGCCGTGCATATCCTCACAAGAGACCAAGCCCCGGCCTCCATCTCCCCTCTTCATGTAGAGCCTGTTGACTGAGGCTTTGGGGTGGTGAAATCCAGACGCAGTCAAGGCTGATCTTGTCACTCGATCTGTGGTCTTGATTTCAGCCTCGGTCCAATTTACGATTCCATAACTATATGTCATAACCGGCAGAGCATACGTATTGATGGCCTTGATCATGTTTCGCGCATTCAATCCACTGTTAAGAAGCAAATACAATCTCTTTTTGTATTCTGCAGTGAGTTGCGTCTTGAGCTGCGGGTGAGGTATCATGGCTGCTTGCACTACTCCAAGGTACTTGTATGTTTCATTGAGTCGTAGCGACTCTGCAATGGTCTCATCGCCAACCTGGATAGAGCATCCTTCATCTGGTTTTCCTCTCCTGACGTGCAGCACGGCACACTTGGCCGGGTTGAGATTCATGCCGATGTCATCACCAACGCCACACACGGTAGACACGAGGGTAGTCACATCCTTTGCAGTTTTCCCATAGAGTTTAATGTCGTCCATGTACCAAGAGTGATTGATAGACAACTCGGCGTCTCTGCAGCTGACTCTGTATCCCAAACGCAATCGGTTGAGCTCAAAACTGATTGGGTTTAGCGCCAGGCAAAACAGTAATGGGGATAATGTGTCACCTTGAAATATGCCTCTTCTTATTGAAATGTTGCCGGTAGTGACCCTGCATCTTCCCTGGTCGCATATGTGCATTGTCGTTCTCCAGTTCTGCATGCTACGAGCAATAGTTGTGACCAAAGACGGGTGGAATCGATACATCGTCAAAGCATGTAGAATCCATTCATGCGACACACTATCAAATGCCTTTTTGAAGTCCAGGTATGCCATGACCAGATTTCGCCCTTTCGTATGGGCATCCTCCAGAATCATCTTATCCACCATCAGGTGCTCCTTGCAACCAAGACCAGCTGCTGCACAACCGCGCTGCTCCGTTGCAAGTATTTCATGTTGATTGATGTGCTGCCACATAATCTTCGATATGGCGGCGGTAAAGAGCTTGTACTGTATCGGAAGACACGTAATTGGTCTATAATCTTTGGGCATTGCCGAAGGTGGAGAAGTCTTAGGAAGGAGAGTAGTAGCGCCAGACGTCAACCATCCCGGAATGTCACTGTGGCCATCTATCACCCTCTGGAAGGCTCTCCGAAGGTAAGAGTGCAGGCTTGTCAGCCTCTTCCACCAGTACCCATGCAACTTATCATGGCCCGGAGCCCTCCACAAGGCTAGTTTGCGCAGGCAGTCAGCCAGGATGTCCTGGGTGATAACTGCGCTACTCTGCACAGGGACGTGTTCTTCATAATATTCTGCTTGCCTTACATACCACTCACCAGCGGTGAACGGCGCAGGTGTAGACAGAAGATCACTCCAGAATTCGGTGGCTTCACCCGCCTCTGGAAATTGCGGCGTCTCCAATCGATTTGAAGCACCACTAACAGAGTGTGCAGGCTCCCGAAGCGTCCGGTAGAAAGCACGCTCATTCATTTGGAACATTTTGTTGGCTTTTTTGGCCTTTTCATTTTCTCGGTATCGACGCATCCTGGCTGCTAGCGCAAGAAGTCGATCTTTCTTTCCCTGTAGCTTCATTTCCAACTCGTCTGTGTTTCTGACTTCAACTTCATATCTCCTCCAGAAGTCATGATGTTTCTCCGATGGATATCGTAGCATGCTGGTGAGTCGGGAAACATCCGAGCGGAGTTGATCGATTTCCTTTGTCAATCGGATCTGCCACTGCGGCGGATGGTCCTTGTCACTTCCGTTTTGCTTGGCATTGCCAGTCGGATGATTCTGACTGCCTTGGATAGTCGATATGCAAACGCAAGCACCAGCATACACGAGGCAATTGATCTCATGGAGCGACGCCTCACCATCAGGAAATAGCCGGCGACACACAAGCCTGAGCTGAGAGTTGACCATGGCGGTAACACTGTATAATAATTTATTTTGTACATGCTTTTTTGTTGGATTAGGGAGGCATTGTCGCTGTGCCATGTCGGCCACGACCTCTGCACGATACCTCTTCTCTAACTCCTCCGTTACATCACTAATCTCTTTGGGCAGCAGCTCATCTTCCAGGTTGTACTGCTCAGCATCAGTGTTGGTGGCGTTTTCTACAGTCGGTAGATTGGGTTCAACACCACACGCCACATCATCACTGTCATCACTGTCATCACTAGTACTAGGTAACTCACATGTACACGTACTGTGGGGTGAACTGCTTCCACATGCACAAGCGCACACAGCCTGGCCATGCGGTGTCATGTCAGCAGCAGTAGTCGCACCAGCAGCAGCAGCAACTGCACTAGCTGTAGTAGCACTAGTAGTACTAGTAGTAGCAGAAGCACCAGCACCACCGCAGCACCCCGCCAGGCCACGGTCGCCTAGCGCTCCAGTCACCATGGCTTCCTCACATAGCACATCCCGAGACGCCTCTGGACTGGTCTCCGTCCTTGCTGGTTCTTCTGCCGTGCACTGCTGACGAATGGCCTCGACATCGGCGGAGGAGAGTCGTCCGCTCTTCCGAATTTCTCGCAACTGGTTGGCCAAATTTACCTCGCTTACCTGTCTCTCCAGGCCCCTGCCACACCAAGGATCGTGCATCCGTCGCATGTACCCACGAGTATTATTATTATTATTATTATTATTATTCAATTTGTCATGTCGCTCGCATGTATAAAGGAAGGCGCCATCGCCTGTTTGTGTTGCGACTTTAAATAAAATTCATTAACCACAACAACAACAACAACAACAAAAACATTTGAAACTCAGGATTCTGTGAAACATGTTTGCGCTGAGGGCATTACTCTCAATGGTGAAACCCTCCCCGTTAGTCCGCTTTTCTCCAACACAGCGGAAATTCAAATCCTTGATGTACCAATATGGGTTGACAATTTGGTGCTCGACAATGCCCTGAACGAGTTTGGCCATGTAGTGGGGGAAATTCGACATGGCCAGGTCAAAACCAGTGCTGGCCGTGTCGTAGGGACCGGGGTCCGTTTCGCCTCATTCCGCTTCAAAACGCCAGCAACAAATATTCCCTCCTTTGTCCGAGCTGATGCCAAGAACATTTTTCGAGTACGGTACGAGGACCAGCCACAGACCTGCCGAAAATGCTCACAGCCAGGCCACACAGCCAACAACTGCACTGTACGAGGTGATTATGCATTTCTAAGCATTTTTCGTTTCTAAGCAAATGCGTAAAATCAGCAAACCGTCTCGTACATATCCAATGCATGCGGTACAATATTCCAAATATAGCACAGTGAGAGACTTCCCTCGGTCTTCATCTTCATTTCCCAGCATGTGTTTTGTTCAAGAAGACTAGGTTTGTCTTCATTTTAGAGCAGTTTGTTGCTCTTCGCGATCGCTTCAGCAGCAGAAATAATGTAAAATCGCCCTTTTATGGATCCCGTTTGTGAGGAGCCTGCCGAACCAGGCCCAGAAAGCTCATGTATTAAATACTAGTAATAGCAGTAGTAGCGACAGCACTGGATCTGCTAATGGAGAAGAAAGCCATAAAACGACTTCTGATACAGATATGGCATCAAAGAGCCGGATGAACCCAGCACAGATTCAGCTAGCAAGCGAGCAACGCTCGCTGTCAGAGCATTCTATTCTCCTGTAACGAGCAGTGCATTTCGTTCGAAGGCCGCTGCGGCAAATGCATTTGACGTGAGTCGGCAGATGTTCCGACATATAGAGAAGGAACTGGAGGTGTCTGGCGTGTTGTCAAACATCAAGAGTGGGCACCTTCCTCCTCCACCTCTGCCAGATGTTCACGACAATGGTTCAGTGACCACACCATCTGCACCTGGTGGTATAGAGTTTGACATGGCAACAGTGGAGGCTGCCATCAAAGCCAAATGCACACGTCCTGGTGACAATGTCAAGTATGGGACACATGGATTGGTGGGCATGTATCGTGAGGGCGTGAAATGGGCCGTGGAGTCAATGCACACGGGCAATCTGCGGAAGGATGGGCGCAGAGCATCTGAGCTGTTAGCCTTGATGAACATCAAAGTGTCTGACACGAAACTTCACCTGAAGTTGAGAGAATATGAGGCTTCGCTGAAACCTGATGTTACCGTCGTGAATGTCCAGACACGATGCAGAACTGGCCAGAGAGCGAAGTTGCCAATGCGATATGAAGTCCAACTTGTGAAGTTTTTGGTTTCAGTGGATGCTGGGAAGCCACTTCTTTAGGGCTCTAATTGCTTGCGGAAGACTTTGGTTTTTTTGGCATTAGTACTTGTCACTGTTCTAGCATGTACATGTATGTGTGTAGAATGGAAGAATGCGATGAAATAACACTAAACATAGTCATTTTACACAATGCTTAGAATCTAAAACGTTCATATTCATAGCTTCATATCAACCCAAATGCAATCCATTCCTTGGGGCGTTATGATAGTCATATTCAGTTGAAACTTGGTGAAGATAGAAAGAAAAGGATCATCTTCTGAGTGAGGCCAAAACATGTATACACATGCGCACTGACACCCCGATATTGTACGATTTTACAATCATGCTTAAAAATGCATAATCACCTCGTAGCGGAGGGTCGCAGGGGAACGTACGCAGATCGTGCCAGTACTACCGGTAGTACTGCAGCTACATGTAGCACAGACCTGCCGCGTATGGACTCAGCTGCGAGCCTGGCGGCTCAATCCGCACACAGTTTTGAACCTGAAACATCACCAACTGGTAGTAAAAACGAAGAGTCCGCAGGTACATGCAGTACGAACCTGCCGCGTATGGACTCAGCTTCGAGCCTGGCGGTTCAACTGAACGACAGTTTTGAACATGAAAAATCAACTGGCAGCGATAAAGAAGAGTCAAGCAAGGACTCCCCAGCCAACAGCACGTCGACGAAAGACGACCACTTGCCCAGCCCCGTGTCACCAAGCAGCAGCCTGCTGGCCACTGCGACCAGCACGCCTCGTGATCACGAGGGAGATGCAGGCACGAGCGACAGCGACGACACGAGTGACACCATGTACAGTGATGACGACGAACGCAGCCTCGCGTTACTTCAACAAGTCACAGTAGACAAGGGAGACTGGAAAACACACAGCAAGCGACGCCGCAAGCACAACCAGTTGGAACAGACACCGCCCAATGCGATCCCGTCGCATCGCTCCAAGGCCAAGAAGAGGAAGCCAACAGCATAACGCGAATTCCATCAGGAACAGCAAAAAAACAAACAAAAAAAACAAAACAAAATAACAAAAATAACAAAAATAAGAATATTAAAAAAAAAAAATCCATACCAATGTCAGTGAATTTGAAATTTCTCAGCACCAATGTGCGTTGCTTATTCAACAAAATGGACGAGCTACTTACCTTTACCCGTTCGTGCTCTGAATCTCAGAACGAACTATCAGTCATTGCAGTCCAGGAAACCTGGGCCGACACATCAGACCCTGACAGTCTCTATGCAATCCCAGGCTACAAGCTGATCAGAGCTGACAGACAGGACTATGGTGGTGGTGTTGCCTTGTACATAGCGGAACGCTTCAACACAAGGGTACTGACAATACCAATGACAGCAGCAGAATGCATATGGACGAGAATATCCACCGGTAACCTTTCCCTCGTTGTTGCAAACATTTACCGACCACCCCGTAGCGATGGCACCCTCTTCTGTGCGGAACTGGAAAGAAGCATCAAAACCGCTAGAGCCGAAGGTGACGACCTCCTACTACTTGGAGACTTCAATGCCAAGAACAGTGCGTGGCTCACCACAGACAGAACAGATCGCCTTGGGGACGACATACAAACTCTGCTACACACATACGGCCTCACACAACATGTCAGATTCCCTACTTACATCCACCGACAAACACCTCTCTCATGTCTAGACCTTGTTATCTCCTCACTCCACACCAATGATATTCATATCCAATCACTTCCACCGTTTGGCGCATCCGATCACACTACTATCAGTGGCCATATCAATAATCAACTGCCCCCCATAATTAACAACTCCCCTCCACGATCCAGAAGCACCACATTCTGGTCATGGACAGACAGCACTATCCACCTTCTTCGAGAAGCCCTTTCACGCACAAATCTCAACCACCATCCAAACGAACACGACCCATGCCCAGTTGACACCTTCTGGCGATCCTGGCGCGACAAAGTCCTGAGCATCGCCCAAGAACACTGCCAAGTTACTCGCACTCACCCCCCTTGGGACAGGAAGAACGTGCCAGCACGACCATGGATATCAAAGGGCCTCTTGAAAGAGATCAAGGATAAGCACAGAAAACACAGAATATACCTTCACTCACGCTCGCCCGACGACTGGAACACGTTCACTGCCCAAAGAAACCGTGTCACCACCCTCCTGCGTCGTGCAAAATCGGATTTCGTAAACAACTCAACAGCCTCCTCTACTTCCCTACACCGCCTCATGAAGCACCTAACTACAGCTACAAAACAACGCATACCCGAACTCGTCAGCCAAGCAACTCCTGCAACGACACCAGCACAAAAAGCCGCTGCCCTCAATGAATTCTTCATTTCACAGAGCAAGCTGTCCGTGGCCAATGCGGATGAGCAAACTCCAGCCATCAACACCACCCCTGACATCCTCAGTCCCCTTCAAGAAATCTCGACTTCCCAAGCTGAGGTCGAAAAACTCCTCCGCGGAGTTGATACCAATAAAAGCCCCGGGTTCGACTCTATTCCAAACCGCCTACTCAAAGAAGCGGCTAAGGAACTTGCACCGTCGTTATCGTCCCTCTTTAATCTATCGTTCCAAACCGGAGAAATCCCACAGGAGTGGAAAGATGCCACCATTACTCCAGTACCCAAGCCCGGTGACCCAACCCAACCAACAAATTACAGACCCATCTCTCTCTTGAGCACTACATCAAAAATCCAAGAAAAAATTGCACATCAACTCCTCTACAAGCACATCACACCCCACCTGCCCAACCAGCAGTCCGGATTCCGTGAGAAAGACGGCACTGAGCAGCAACTCGCCCGTCTCGTCCATACCCTCTCCACTGCGAGAGACGACGGGAAACACGTCAATGCCTGCTTTTTCGATCTAAGCAAGGCCTTCGATCGTGTGTGGCACGCAGGCCTTCTAGCAAAACTCTCCCACTATGGTGTCCAGGGCAACGCCCTGGAGTGGTTTCGACGGTACCTGTTGGGGCGTCGGCAAAGGGTCCAGGTGGATGGCGACCTAGCGCCTTTCCTCGAGATCCCTGCCGGCGTCCCTCAGGGATCTGTTCTTGGGCCGCTTCTATTCCTCGTCTACACCATAGACCTTCCACACGCATGTGAGAATCCCGGCACCACCTGTAGCCAATTTGCAGATGACACCGCTCTGATTTCTATAGCGAGAACTCTTCAAGACTGCACCCGAAACCTACAACAGAGTGTCACAGCAGCTGGAGACTGGCTTCAAAGATGGCACCTGCTGGTTAACACAAAGAAAACAGTCATCCTCCCGTTCTACCACAATAACCGCCCCCCTGAACAGCTACCCCAGATCACCCTCAGGAATAGTCCGCTTACCGTAGCACAAAAACACAAACACCTCGGAATAATCTTTCAGCATGACCTCCGTTGGACGGAGCATGTTGAAT